ACTTATAACTGTGTGACAAAGCCAATTACTTAACTTCTCTCTGCTTCAGTTTTTCCACCCATAAGATGGGGAAAATGGAACTACTGCCTCAGAAAGATCATGTTATGTACTACTTTTTATTATTAGGCCAAAAAAATGTAGCTTCCCATACAACAGTAAGACACCTATCACCTGTAGGAAAAGTATAGTCACTGGTGCATGTAGTGTCCCAGACTGCGAGAGGGCACAGGAGAGGCTGAAGGACTGCCTCCCTCCCGTGCCTGAATTTCATGCACCAGGCCTCTAGTGACTGTTATAATGATGTAACACTATATAGTATAAAACTTCAGAGTATTATTAACATGGAACAATTCTAAGAAATAGTATTAAAAGAAAAAAGAGAAAAATCAGTATATCCAACTAAAATTATGTTTTAAAATCTTATAAATATATTAACCAATGTAACCCCAATAAAAGTAATTTAAAAATCTTATAAATAGAAAAAAAGGTTGAGAAATAAGGAGTAATTATTCTCTGACTCTTCTAATTTACATAATTTTGAAACTTTTAGAAGTATTTATAAAATTTTAGCAAAGTAATTTAACACAAAAAATTAACAATCCTGGTTTATGTATAATTATGCTGTCAATTGTTTTCTAATAAAAAACATAAAATTGGCTTTAAAATGCTTTATTTTACTCACTTATAGTCTCTCTCCCAGAATTTCACAGGTCGAACATATGAAGTGATGAATATTGCACTTCCCAGGAAGGGGTTCAGTGGTGTGGAAAAGAAGGCTGATACAGCAGCCTGAACAAACAACATGGCTGAATCTATGGGAAAACTGGTTAAGGACCTAACATCCATCTGAGTGCACACACAAACAATACACACACACACACACACATCTCACAAACATGCTGCAATTATAGCAATTAGAAAAATGATGTTCATGAGAGAAATACAGGAAAGGGTGCCACTGGACAGCACATGGGTAGAAGTAGAAAGACACAGCGTGATGAAAGGCACGATGCTCGGAAGGGAGCTAAATAAATATCTGCTAACAGGTATTAGATAAAAGCCCATATGTCACTTCTGGGTAGAGATACTTGGATTTAACTTTCCAGAGGATAAAACTAAACTTTACAGATACCAAAAAAAAAAAAAAAAAAAAAAAATCTACATTCCAAAATCTATGTGGTTCACTAAACATTACTTTTATTTAGAAAGTACTTTTAAGAAATGATGAGAGCCGAAACCGGTTTGGCTCAGTGGATAGAGCGTCGGCCTGCGGACTGAAAGGTCCCAGGTTCGATTCCGGTCAAGGGCATGCACCTGGGTTGCGGGCACATCCCCAGTAGGAGATGTGCAGGAGGCAGCTGATCGATGTTTCTCTCTCATCGATGTTTCTGACTCTCTATCTCTCTCCCTTCCTCTCTGTAAAAAATCAATAAAATATATTTTTTTTTTAAAAAAAAGAAATGATGAGAATAGAAGATTTTAGACATACGATTATAAAAAATGTTTTGTATCTTCATTCAAAAAATATTTCTAAACACATTTTGTATTTATTGAAAATTCATGATAGATCAGGATAATCTAAGAGAATTATGTAATGTCTAATCATGGGGGTGTACACCTGAAACTAATGTAATATAGTATGTCAACTGTAATTGAAAAATTAAAAAATGACTTTAAAAAATGCTTGGACTTTAATAGTCATATATATAAACATAATTTTTTAAATCAGCATTATCCTATATAATAAAAGGGTAATATGCAAACTGACCGAACAGCTGAACAACTGGTCGCTATGACACACACTGACCACCGGGGGGCAGACACTCAACACAGGAACTGCTGGTCAGTGCACTCCCACAGGGGGAGTGCCACTCAGCCAGAAGCTGGGCTCACGGGTGGCGAGTGCAGCGGTGGTGGTGGGAGCCTCTCCCGCCTCCACGGCAGCACTAAGGATGTCCGACTGACGGCTGGGGAACAGGCCTAAGCCGTCAGTCAAACATCCCCACAGGGCTCCCGAACTGCAAGAGGGCGCAGGCTGGGCTGAGGGAACCCCCACGAGTGCACAAATTTTGTGCACTGGGCCTCTAGTTTAATTATAAGACCGTAATACTTTTCTCATGTCCAGATGATCTGTGGGGCACAGATGTTAATACAAGTTAAACAATCAGTATAGGTGTGGACTCAGAGAATAGCGAGTTTTTGATAGTTTACCACATGGTAACCTATATTTTACACCTGTGAAAGGTTATCCCTACAAACCAACATTTCCATCAAGGATATGACTGCCCTTTCTTATAAAACTTTTATGAGAAGGATACGGGGCACTGCAAAGGGCTGAGCAAAAGCATGGAAAGCAGAACCCCATGTAATTTGCCATGGGGCAATGTAAGTGTACACAAACTGCAGTTTATAAAGGAGCTCCCAAAGCTGTGGAAGGATAAAGAAAGAAGCAATCAGTAAAAAACATTGGATACTTGAAAAACAAAATAAAACACCTCTAAAATGTTGTCTACCTAGTAGGAAAATGGTATTGACATTATTTGCCATTTGCATAAAAAAAGATATATCAACTTCTAAGACATTATATATTTTTAAGTAAAGACAGCTAGCTGATTTATGAATTGTGTTCCATCTGTTTAAAAAATTCTATGTCCTCTATTGGCTATTGACTACTACAACAAGCAAAACAAAAGGTAGAAAATCCAGATGTCTGTAAAGCTAAGTAATGCATATATATTTTGATTCTAAGATATTTCCCTCGAATTTTAGTGCTCTGCAAACTGGGTGTGTTTTAAATGCAATGTCCAAAGAAATCTAAAAGTAGCCAGGCAGGGGATAAAGTTGTAATACAGTGTCACTGCCTGTTTGCCTCAGAATTTACATGTATATTAAGCATCTGCATGAAATCTCAATTGTTATTGTCAATGGAAACACAATATACTTTTAAATCTTATTTAAATTAGGGTCTGTTTTGTTGTTTAACATGTCTTCAACAATGAAACAAAATTAGTATACATGCCCAAGATTGCCTCTGCATGCTAGGCAGTGCCAGGCCCAATTCTCCAAACAGATCACAGAATCTTAAAAGCAAGAGGTTCTGACTCACTCGGTGCCATGATTCATGCACCTATTTAAATCGTTTAGCTGATTTACAATGAACCTGTTTAACTTCCAATTTAAAAAAGAAATAACAACTTCAACCAATTAGAAAATGCAGATGAACCCTTGCATTCTTTGTCATGGCCCCAAACTATGCTGGTGATTTTTGGTACTAATGTGTTCAGGATGACAGGAAGTAAAAGCGGGATGTATATTAACAAGATGCCATTATAACTCCTTAAAAGCAATGATTCAGAAAATTGTCCAGAGTCTAGATGTGAAAGGGACTGTACTCCAATTTTGACTGTAATATTGAAGAAAAAATAATATACAATTACACGGATAAGTAGTTAGTGGGTAAAAATATTTTTGTATATATTCAGAATAATTTTTTCTTAAAAGGCTATTAAATCAATAGTGCATTTTACAATGGTATCTTAAAAAAATCTACCTAAAGAGAACCCTTGACTATTACTTGCTTATTACAGCTAGTAAGTTCTATTAAGTAGCCATATAAAATGTAAACTTCTAAGAACAAATCTTTCTCTGAACAGAGTATGCTCTCAAAAACAATTTGCTTAACAAATGAAAGCATTAAGAAGATCCAAACTTATACAAGTAAGTGCAGTGACTCTATTTCAAGGATTGTTTAGTTTATATTTTACTGCAATTTTCATTTTTTTCCAAACCAATATAAAAAGATGCAATACAATTTCCAATCTAAATATTTAAATTTGTGAGCCACCACATGCTTCTTTATACAAACAATTCTCTGATTAACTTTCTGGCTTCCTCCTTTGGTTAACCATGCTCACTAGAAGAGGAAATAAATAATAAAAATGCATACAAATTAGCGATTGAGCAAATATAATATTGCAATATTTTAGAAGTTAATTAGCTTAATATTTAGCATAATATTTTGAAACTGATCATCACTAAAACCTTGTTCAGATTAATGGTTTCCAATTTGTACTGTTCCCATCCTAGGTCAGATCTCTATCACATCTAAATTACTGTCACAATCTCTTAAGCTGTTCTCCATACCTTCAGGTTCTCTCTTCCCCAATTCATCCCAAATGTGGCTGACCAGGCTAACTTTCCTAAAATTGGGCTTTCATTGTGTTTTGTAGCTGCTCATATGCTTCAGCTCTGTTACCTATCAAATGGGATAATATATGTCAAAGTCCTTTGCATGTGGTCAGCGTTAACATGAAATCTAAGCTCTATTTACCTTACAAATAACCTGACTGCACAACCGACTTCATTTAGAAAGGTAGTGTGGTTCAGCAAAAAGGTCCTTGGAATGGTAAGGCAGAAGAGCCAGACTTTACCATCTCATTCGTAAAAGGACTAAAAGCACCTCTCTTATGGTGGATACCATATTTTAGAACCATTTTGTAAACTTCAAAGCATTCTGCAATTGTCCCTATCAAACTAATTTCTGACTGCTCCCACATGGCCTGACTGCTCTGGGTACCTACCATCTTCAATCAGCTTTCAGGTTATTTTCTCTCTCCATCTATCTCCAGCCCACAGCCCAGTTCAACTGTTACCATGTCTATTTCTGAAATTATCCCCAAACTACACCCCCCTTTTGGAAGACCCTATATATTTAAATATATATACTTATTGGTGTTTTTCTAATGGTTCCATATAACTTAATCTTATCTTCTTCGCTATTACAAGAAGTATGTCTTATGGATCACAATGACTAGCATTATTTAGGGATTCTAATATGCTCCAAATAACTGGTTAAATGAAGAAAAATGTTACTTAAAAGATAATGTCATGAATGAAATGCAAGGATAATACTCACTAAATAGTGTATGACTTGGGGAGGTGCTTTTTACAGAGAGGGATATTCCTCTAGTGATGAATTACCTTGTTGAAGAGTATGGACATGAAGAACAGATCCAATAGCATGGTCTCTGAAAACGCTTCATAGTCAATTTTGAAAAAGAGCACAGTGAAGACAACTGTGACATACTGATACGTAGGGCTGCTAAAGGAGGATCGGAGCAACTTCAGACCAGCAATGGTGATCATTAAAGCACCTAGTCTAGAATAAAAAGACAGCACAACTCATCAACTAGTGACCGAAAACTTGAGAAAACCTACCAACTTCAGAAAAACCACCATTTTATTTACTTAGCTTACAATATATATATTGTAATATATATATTACAATATATATATTACAAATTTAAACTTCTAAAAATAATTTATATAGCTAAGCAAATCACATCCAAAAATAAACTACCATAATATTCCCTTTTAATAATATGTATTATGACTTTTATCCTTTTATAAATCAGTTTAAGAAATAAGTTAACAGTATTATAATTCCGACATTTGGTTTTCCAGTCTCTCGACATTTCTATTGCTTTAACATTAATAGCATTTAGCACATAAAAAAACATATTAACACTTACCCAATAACATATACCTAGTCTAATGGGTAAGCCAACTACACAGGGTGGGGCAAACATAGGTTCACAATTGTTCATATGGAAAAAATACAATAATTCTATATAATAAAAGGCTAATATGCAAATTGTCCCATCGGGAGTTCAATCACTCACTATGATGTGCACTGACCACCAGGAGGCAGTGAGGAACAGGGCAGGGGACCAGCAGCAGCAGCAGCGGCAGGGCACTGAGGGAGCGAGGGAAGGAGGAGGCAGGGAGGCAGGAAACCTGATGAGCCCTGATTGCCAGCCAGGCCTAGGAACCCTACCTGTGCACAAATTTCGTGCACTGGGCCTCTAGTTACTAAATAATAATACAAGAATAAACTGTGTTTCACATAAAACAACTATAAATCCATTTTTGCCCCACCCAGCAAAAATAACCATTTCCCAAACTTACCATCTAATGTTAAAGAATAACCTTATTTAATAAGTATCCTCTCATCAAGTACCAATCAACAATAAGATGTCTGGAGTAGTGAAATGCCAAGAGCAAAAGCAAATGTTCAGAAAAGGAAAGTCAAAGACAAAATTTCACCTGGATTTTATTTTTAATATTAGAGGCCCAGTGCACAAAAATTTGTGCACTCGGGGGGTGTTCCTCAGCCTGGCATGCGCCCATTTGCAGTACAGGACCCCTTGAGGGATGTCCACCTGTCGACTTAGGCCCACTCCCCGGGGGATCAGGCCTAAGCTTGCAGTCAGACATCCTTCTGGCATCCAGGGAGCCCTGGGGGGATGTCCGACTAAAGGCTTAGGCCCC